CCGCCACTTAGGCGTCATCTCTGGGGATTTTGGACGGCAGGGCTGTTACTTATTATTCACCTTCCAGGCACTGCCTTTTTGTCAGATATATCGTGAATACCTTCCCCTTTTCTTCTCAAAACTCAAATAGAACATTTTTAAAATATATCTTAGCTTGGGGTAGCAGATAAACCCTAGACAAGAGAGAGAATATATTTTAAGTTTCTTCCAGTTTTATCTGATGCTTCTGATCCAGAACAAGATTCTATTATATTCTCCTCTTATTTACAATTGTCTTGCAGCACAAACAAGCCAACTCCCACAGTGTCTCGGCCTGAGCATATAATTCACGTGATACATTTGGGGGCTCCAAGCTCGTGGAGTGCTCTTCATTGGCTCTTCATCTATCTTTGAACGGAAGGTTTGTTTCGTTTCTGAGAGGCAGCTGGGTTACTCAAAAAAATTAGTTAGCAAGTCTCATTGGAATCCCACCTGTTTATGGGAGCAGATGTTACTTATCCGACAAGTCCCACTGTTTGACTCAAAATTGATGCTGCCAGATTGGTCACACGAGATGAGTACACGCTGGTTTGGATGGATGCAGACATCATTGACTGAATGAAAGAGGCCGTCATCAATCACGGCGATACAGAATACAGAAGGGAAGCTAACTTCCTCAGGGGGCAGAATTGTCGCCGTGCGTTCGATGAAGGGTTGAACGTTGAACTGCTGTTGGAGGGTTATCACATGTGTTCACAGAGATAGATTCCCCCAAAGAAATAACCACACACCGAAGGTACCAGATTTTGATGTTTCCATCTTTGCTTCCTGAGACCAGCTATTTGCCTTCACTGTGGAAGGCTACGGAGGGGATATTCATGCTGTGACCGTCAAAAAAAAACCAACTGATTCCCTTGAGCATATACCTTGGAGCCTAGAGACAAGTAAGTACGCACTGGATCGGAAGATGGACTTCCTATCTCATATAGATGGAGCAAGTAGCCGCTCAGTACTGACTGCAACTTCGATGTTTGATTGACTCTTGTGCAGGTAAGCTAATCAGCTCACTCCGGTGATATTGCAAGGCGATTCACTTGCTACAGTCGGCACCCTCATGACCCATAGCCCTCGGTGGACAGTCCAGGCTATGGGTTTTAAGGGGCTATGGACTACAGGGGGTGGGAAAAAAATAAGTGCTCACGAATGTCACCAAAATTTCGGAAAATCTTATTTTCTTGGTTACAATAAATCCACTCAACTGTAAGGCAAACAATCGATGCCATCTGAGCAAGTCATTATTGATGCATTTCCCTCAGCAGTGTTAGCTTCATGACTGAGCAAAGATTGATCTGGGGAAGAAGGGCATTGTGGGCTGATTCCCAAGCATTTAGTGATTAGTCGAGCAATAGAATTCGGACTATGGTAAATCTTGTGTCCACATCAGGAAAAAACAAAGTGAAAAATAGCAAAATCATGACCATTTTTGGTAGGTGTAACCCTAAGATAGGGTCCAAAACCTATGGGGTTTTGCCCAAGAGGGGTATGGGTTATGGGTTATTGCGGACTTATGGGTTATGGGGTGCAATTCCCTGCCCACCGAGGTGGTGGACACAAAAATGTATGGGATTTTGGAGGTTATGGGTTATGGCAGGCATGGGTTATGAGGGTGCCAACTGTATTGCATGCAATACTACCGGATGTGAGAATGTGGCAAATCACTTCACGACAACTTGAGTTGAAACCTCACGCCTGCTTGGCTTGTGCGCTCAATGGTTCATGATCATATCCTACTCCAGGCCTTCCAGAAGCGTATTTCGTGAGCATAGGAACCAGTCATTAGAATGACAGCACTTTTGCTAAAGCTGGGCAGCATCGTGACTTGCGGGGAATAATAAGCACTGGCAGGCATCGTATGTTTCCCACGTCCAAATCTAATCTAAAACGTTGCTAAAATGCTGGAATCTTCCCTTTACCAACGTGTTGTGCACACCCTGCAGTGTCACAAACCCACCACCCTTGTACGCTTATCGGAAATTACAAGGGGGTTCAAGAATTAAAAAAAAGTAGCTGGGGTCGAATTTTTTTGTAAGGCCCCGTGTGCTTGACCTACCTACCTACGTAATCAGGCACATGCCTATATATGGCAACATGACATCATCATCATGATCACTCTGAACCTCTAAGGCTTCGCATACCCAATTTCGTGGGGCTATCTCCAATGCAACACATTGTAGGTGGTACTAAAAAATAAGTGAGTGTAGTGATTAACTTGTGCAAGACTGATACTCACCCGAGTCTCACATCCAACCCTTTTACATTTTACCAAGCCATTGCATTCTGAAGTGCAATATCACACTGCACAGGCATCCGTTTAGAGCGTCTGATGTGTCGAAAGCATCAAGATGATTCGAGTTTTGAAATCAAGTCACACAGCATACCCATCGGTGTCAAGAACTGGTCTCTAATTGTTTTGTCAGTAAATTGTGATTGATTAAAACATTCAAGGGGGTGTCGGGATAAAAAAAAAAGACCTAGGGTCGATTTTTTTGGTAGTGAGCGCTGGGCTGAACCAACCACCCAACGTAATCAGGCACGTGTCTATTTTAGGAAATATGACATCACCACTGTCTTCCTGTCCTCGTGCCTCTCAACGTTGAACCCATGCATGGGCACCTGCACAAGGTAAATACAAATGAGGTGATATCAGAATGGTTTGACATGAAGATGTAAGTATGTTTTATGTTGAAACCCTAACAGAAAGTGGGTTTAGTTGACCACACAGTTTCACATCCCACTGGATCACATTGGCAGTGGTCAGCTCTGCTCGGGATCCACAAAAGCAATCCTCCAATCGACAACCTTACATTTTCATTTTTCACATGTTTCCTCGCTGTAACGGTTGCCACACTAACGAAAGTTGTCAATGGTCCGATGTTATTATTGTCTTATGTAAGCAATCTCAGTGGTGTTTTTTGGCGCATCCTCAGGCATTTAGCACATCTTGAGGCTTTCTAGTATCTATTATGTATAATTTATCCACCAGGAAGGCCGCCTATAATTGTTTTGGGCCAAAATTTTTGAGCTTCCAATTTTTTTTTAACGGCCTGATGGCCCAACCAACCAACCGGCCCCCGGTCCGGAATTATGATCCCGACACCCCCTTGAAAACATTAGACAAAAATTTGATGAAGATTAGACTGTGAAAAACAATTTTGAAGCCAGAAATTGGGCCGGATATAATGAAATATAATATCCAGTCAAGATAATGTACTATACAATGATATTTTACATGCAGGAATACTGTAAATCACCTTGGAAAACCAATTTAGGACTATCTCATAGAGGGTTCCAAAAATCTTTTTTTCGGCCTACAGCCGACCTACCTACCCAACCCCTGGTCCGGCATTCAGATCCCTGAACCCCCTTGGGAAATTACATCGAGGGCACTGCGTTCTTCGATCGGGGTCTCTGTTCTGGTTCCTGGACCATGTCACGTCGACATGAAATACATGCTCATCCTGCATGCGTCTCAGGTGCACACGGCGGTGAAAGTTATCTCCTAAACTTGACTGTCACTCGTTCCTCTCAATTGATTGATCTCCCGAATTTGATTCCTCAAGGGATTTCTCATCCCGCGGAGATCATTTTGCGGGAGCATGCCTCCTTTCTTGTCCTCAAATCTCTTCTGATCTTCATTTCCCATGACTTGGAGGTAGTATGAAGTGATCCGAAATGCCTTCGGCTTCAAGGTGCCACCGTCGGTGATGCCTTCCAAGTCTTTGATTAATCTCCCTGAGTTTCCGCCAGCTTGTTTCAATCACTTCACCATCGTGTGCTTGCCATTTCGAACGAAAATGTCTTTCTCATCTGGGAGCCTTTGTGAAATCCTATCACCGAATGTTCTGTGATTTTGCTTGTCTTACGATCCTGGGGTCGACTTTCGTTTGCATATAAGTAACAGTATTCGTCAAGCTCTCTTCAGGTCACTACCCCGACTACTACTATCCTGGCCATGAACGCATTCCCCGTTAGCAGTTTTTACCGTGCTTTTTTATCCCTGTACTCACTCCACACAGACTGGCACCCGAGTTTTCTACTGGTGTTCTACTGGCCCGATTATCTACGCTACGGTGCAATCCTCTAGACGCTTGCCGGATGTAAGTCTACTTGTCACCTCAATTTTTTTTTTCAATCTGAACAAACCCCTTATCTCAGGGAACACAACTCTTGGTCATCAAAGATGACAATGGCGAGACCGTTACGCTCCCGTATGGTTCTACATTAAATCAAAGATTTCATTTTCTGACATTGATGACAGCGCTGCTGGTGTCACCCTGGTGTCCTGATTTGCAGGAACCTTTCCCTCTTTTTGTTTAGATTTTTTTTAGCAGACTTTTTCTGTTGGACAGTAGACATCGGGTTCAATCTTAGAAAGATCAGTCTCCCTTAAAATCCACTCGTTATCAACGATCGTACTATGCGAGCAACCAATTCAAGAACACATCCAACAAAATCAAGCGGCAGCCAACCCAAACAGCGACATCGTTCCCCCACTCCGGATCAGACAGAGTCCTTACTTAACACACACAGTACGTCCAAGGTGGATATTGGACATGTCTTGAGGCATGATGAGGATGTACTGTTTCTTGTTGGAAGAGTTTGCCAAATTAGGCATGGGTATTTCTTCGTCTTGTAGAAGTCGGCGATGAGTATAGCATTGGTGAGCTACGAGGTGGTCAAATGTACTATGGATAGTACAGTAACCAACCAGGCAACTGCTATTGCAGAAGTATTGTAGAAGATTGGGAAGCTGTCCGTGGGGGTGCTCTGAGGCCGTGAAGAAAGGGGGTTGATATGGAAGAGAAGTCGCTTGCTCGAAATCAAGCCATTTTGGATAGTCACTATGAGTCATAGTATTGAGCGAGAGGAGTATAGTGATAATAATTGAGAACTTTACCGCCGACGACTCACACCAACAAGTCGATTTAACTGAAGTGGAAGGACGGCAACTTGATCAATTGCCTCCAAGGACAGTTGATGTTCTGAATATAACCTGCGTGCAATTTCAACAACGATAACTTCGACTTTGGCGATAAAAAATTAATGCACGCTGAATGTCGAAGAAGATACGCACAGTCTGGGTCGCGATTGGGTATTTGCCATAAGAAAAACTTATATTGTTCATTGTGCGACATATAGTCGAACTCTGGGTCGTCAGAGAACGGCATGAACGGCATGAGGTGGGGATCATCGCCGACACAAATGTTACGCATGAGGGGCGTGCATGTTTCGTAGCTTGGGTAAGGCCTGAGTGCTTCATCGAAATTCAACACTTCAACTGAAACAATTGTGGAGGTACAGTCTTCCGGACCATCTGTGATGTCAATAATTTCGAATTCTTCCTCGACGCGCTTGGGGCGACTTCGAATTCTGTTTTTCCCCTTGCGAGCCGTCTGTGCATGTGACTTCAGTTTCTTTCGTTGGATAACGGGGGGATGCTGGGGCCTTGACCAAAAGCGAGTGGTGAGTTTCTTGACAATAATTTATATCCCAAGCGTAAAATTCTGAGCTAAACGTTTCTGAAACTCTGCAGACAATGTCGGCAGTCTCTGCGACATCCGAGTTTTCACCTTGTGGGGTAAAACTATTCATCGGAAATTCAGTGTTCGCGCCAAATAAAGACAGGAAATATAAATATAGTTCAGGAGCTAAATTTTTGCCTCGAAAGAAAGCCGTTACTTTTCTGAGAAGCGATAGCCAGAGCCTTTGAGGGTTGTGGTGATGGGGGAGGAGTATTTTGCATTATTTTTTAGTATGTATTATTTATTACTCTAATGATTATTCTTGTTTCGGCTCCGCTCAGAATTTTCAACAACTCTTTACGCCCACGTCGACGACAACGATGGCTGGCCAAGGGTCAGGAAGCTGCTCCTAAGGGGACTGTCGAGGATGGTGCAGGAGACGAACTTATCATCGGCGGCGACTCATCACGGAAGGTCAAAACTGACAAGGACATTGTCTCCCCACATTCCATCAACGGTTTCTGGGTTCAACGCCAGATATCCGAAGTCTACCCCGACCCTGTCACCGCCGCAGAAAAAACCACCTCCGTCCTCAGCATTCTTGGATCCGAATCCAGCGCCCGTGACTGCGAGAATCAGCTCATGGAACTCTTCGACATCCAGAGCTTCCACATCACCGCCAAATTCCTCAAAAATCGTGACGTCGTCGTTCGGTGTACCAAACTGATGTGTAGTGACGCGGATGACCGCGTCAATGTTGAGGTTGCTATGCGCGAGAAGGGAGTTGGGTGGATCCTTCGAGAGCTGGCGGGTGACAGGTAAGCGAAGCCTCGTTCTGATGCTATGGACATTGATGAGCCCAAGATTGAGGTTCCAAAGACGGCCACTGTTGCGCCGGGCTCTATCGTCCAACCCAAACGGACAGTGGATCTCGATAGCATGGCCTTTAGCCAGGGCGGACACTTGATGTCGAACAAGAAGTGCAAACTGCCTGATGGTTCGCGAAGAAAGGTTACGAGGAAATCCATGTCCCTGCCCCAAAGCAGAAGCCTACCACGGAAGGTGACTTTGTCCCAATAACAGCTCTACCAGCTTGGGCTCGCGAGGCGTTTACAGTTCCCAAGCTCAATCGCGTCTAGAGTAAAGTCTTCCCCATCGCTTTCGGTACAGATGAACCTATATTGCTTTGTGCTCCAACTGGCGCGGGAAAGGTACGTCTTTCATGTTGATATACAGATTCAACTCCCTAATCATCGCCCTCATAGACAAACGTCGCCATGTTGACAAATCTCAATGAACTTGCCAAGCACCGTAACGAAGAGATTGGAACGTTCGACCTGGACGCTTTCAAGATCGTCTACGTCGCTCCCATGAAGGCCCTTGTCCAAGAGATGGTCGGAAACTTCACAGCCCGACTCAAGGTCTTCGGTATCAAAGTCGGCGAGATTACTGGCGACTCCCAAATGACCAAACAGCAAATTTCAGAGACCCAGATTATTGTTACCACTCCGGAGAAATGGGATGTCATCACGAGGAAAATGACCGACACTTCTTACACCAACCTCGTCCGTCTCATCATCACTGATGAAATCCATCTTCTGCGCGACGAGCGAGGACCTGTTTTGGAAAGTATCATCGCCCGGACTATCAGATGGGCTGAACAACGATCCGAGTTCGTCCGCCTCCTTGGCCTTTCCGCGACATTGCCCAATTACGAGGATGTTGCGACCTTCCTTCGGGTTGATGAGAAGAAGGGTCTCTTCTACTTTGACGCGTCATATACCTCAGCCTGCTGAACCAGCAGCTGCCCATCGAGTCCCAATTTGTCTCGAAGTTGGCCGACAACCTTAACGCTGAAATTGTGCTTGGAACCGTCCGGAATCGTGATGAAGCCGTTCAATGGCTTGGCTACACGTACCTGTGCGTGTACTTTCTTTTTCTCCTCTTTACGATGAAATTAACACTCATTCGTAGCTACATTCGCATGCTCAGCCTTGTACAGCATAGGCGTCGACTACCAAGAGGATGATGGTGCTCTGGTTCAGAAGCGCGCTGACATAGCTCACTCCGCTGCCGTACTTCTAGAGAAGTGTCAACTCATCAAGTACGAAAGGTCATCAGGTCGATTCCAAAGTACAGAGCTCGGCCGGATCGCCTCATACTACTATGTGACGTACAACTCCATGATGGTCTACAACCAGCATCTACGTTCGACGATGTCATTGCCCGAGTTATTCAGGGTTTTCGCACTTTCAAACGAGTTCAAGTTCGTACCTGTGAGTTTTCTTCTTTGAGATATCTTGTGCTCCTCCATTGACATTTTCTCATTAGGTTCGACAAGAGGAGAAACTGGAGCTCGCAAAGCTACTCGAGAGGGTACCCATTCCTGTGAAAGAAAGCGTCGAAGAGCCTGCGGCCAAAATCAACGTACTCCTGCAAGCGTACATCTCGCAACTCAAACTCGATGGTAAGCGTTTTCACGGCCATCCATCACAGGAACGATATCCAAAGCCTTCCAGGGTTCGTCCTCGTCGCTGACATGGTCTTTGTGCAGCAATCTGCGGGGCGGTGTGTACTGATTAAACCCGTCCCTTGACTTGTGCTCACTATATTGCCTATAGTATCCTGAGGGCTATGTTTGAGATATGTCTGAAACGCGGCTGGGCTGCGTCTGCTAAAGCAGCTCTCGACCTTTGCAAGATGGTTGAGAAGAGGATGTAAGTTATTGTGGTTGTTAAAGCTGGCCATCGCTCACAAGTATATCAGGTGGGGTTCAATGACGCCTCTTCGTCAATTCAAGGGTGTTCCTGCTGAAGTGATAAGAAAGGCAGAAGGCAAACAATTCGTGAGTGATATTTGTTCCCCTTTCGTTTCGTTGCTAACAATGCCCGTCTTTCATAGCCTTGGTACCGTTACTTTGATCTGGTACGCTTCGTCAACTTCGTTTCTGGCTGCGCCGCCCAAAGTTTTTTAGACACCTCCTGAGATTGGTGAACTCATCGGGATCCCTAACGCTGGGCGGTTGGTGCACCGTCTCGTCCACAGTTTCCCGAAGCTTCAGTAAGTTCTGATTGATGTCTGACTTTTTCGGGTATCTCGTTGACGAACTTGCTTTGGGCTACAGGCGCAAGTCTAACCCATCACTCGGTCGCTTCTTCGAATCGACCTTTCTATCATACCTGATTTTCGATGGGATGAAAAATTTCACGGTACGGCGGAGACCTTCCTTATCGTGGTCGAAGATGTGGATGGAGAGTGATACTCTTCCATGACTCGTTCATCCTTCGTCAACGATACGCGGAAGATGAACATAACGTTACTCTTACTGTGCCCATGTTCAACCCGTCCTGCCCAACTACTACATCTCCATCATCTCGGATCGCTGGCCTCACGCCAAAACTCGGCTTCCCATTGTTTTCAAACATCTTATTTTGCCCGAAAAGTTCCCTCCTCCTACCCCGCTTCTCGACCTACAGGCCCTACCTCTTTCCGCCTTGCACAACAAGGAATTCGAAGCACTCTACTCCTCGACGATCCAAACCTTCAACAAGATCCAAACCCAGGTTTTCCAAGCTCTTTATACGACAGACGAAAATGTTTTCATTGGTGCGCCTACCGGTAGCGGCAAGACAATCTGCGCAGAATTTGCTCTCCTTCGTCTCTGGAGTAAGAGAGAGCAACTCCGAGCGGTTTGTATTGAGTCATATCAAGAAATGGTTGATCAACGAGTTGTGGATTGGCGGGCCAAGTTCGAAAAGCTTCAAGGCGGGAAGGAGATTGTCAGTCTCACAGGAGAGACAAGCGCTGATCTGAGGCTTCTGGAGAAAGGAGACGTCATTGTCTGCACACCAACGCAGGTTCGTCAGATCTTTCCATTTTTCTTTCAGGTTTTTTCTCACTTATCAACAGGACATCCTTTCACGATGGTGGCGACAACGCAAAAACATTCAAAATATCGGTCTTATTGCTGATGAGGTGCAGTTGGTCGGCGGTGAAGTGGGACCCACTACGAGGTCGTCATTTCCCGCACGCGTTATGTCTCAGCGCAGACAGAAATCAAGACACGCATAGTCGCTTGTGGAGTCTCTCTTGCGAACGCCCGAGATCTGGGCGAGTGGATGGGTGCACCTTCTCACGCGATCTTTAACTTTTCACCAAGGTATTCCTCTTCCGTTGCTCCTCGAAGGCTACGTACTGATGCTGTTACTAGTGCCCGTCCCCTCGACATGGATATACATCTCCAGTCCTTCACCATCCCTCGTTTCCCCTCCCTGATGATCGCCATGTCAAAGCCTGCTTACTTCGCTGTTCTGGAGTACTCCCCCTCAAAACCCGTCATCGTTTTTGTTCCCTCCAGGCGATAGTGCCGCCTTAGGGTCGACGACCTTCTGACTCACTGCCTAGCGGACGATAAACCTGATCGGTTCCTCAACATCGAGCTTGACGACTTACAACCTCACCTGGACCACATCAGCGACAAGGACCTCGTTGAAACGCTCAAACACGGTATCGGGTACTACCACGAGGCTTTCGATAAGCAGGACAAACGGATCGTTCAGCGCCTGTTTGAGTCAGGAGCTATCCAACTGCTTGTTGCATCGAAAGACACGGCTTGGAGCTTGCCGGTGGCAAGTAACATGGTGATCATCATGGGCGTTCAGTTCTATGAGGGCAAGGAGCATCGTTACATCGACTATCCGGTCATGGACGTTCTCCAAATGATGGGCCGCGCTTGTCGGCCAACGGAAGATGAGCGCAGTCGATGTGTTCTCATGTGCCAGCAAACACGTAAGGACTTTTACAAAAAGTTCCTTGCCGAAGGGCTTCCAATTGAGTCACATCTCCCGACCCATCTCCTCCATGACTACTTCCTCGCGGAGATCGCAGTCAAAACCATTGAGAACAAGCAAGATGCTATGGTAAGCAACTCCCGATCATGTTTCTTCATTGTGTTTACGTTCTATCCCTCAGGATATCCTCATTTGGACTTACTTCTACCGCCGAATGACTCAAAACCCGAACTATTACAATCTGCACAATGTCAGCCATCAGCATCTATCCGAACACCTTTCAGAACTTGTAGAGAACACTTTGAGTGATCTCGTGAATTCAAAATGTATCGCAATTGGTAGGTTTCTGCCTTTTTTCCTGCTAATCTGTCTGATCCTTTCTCCAGAGGACGAAATGGACGTGTCGGCGCTCAATCTTGGAATGATCGCTGTCTACTACAATATCTCATGAAAGTGCCCATCATTTGGAAGTCACCCAGTGGCTTATCCGCTCGCCAGATGTGACGGTCGAGGTGTACACATTGTCTCTCAAGGAGCGTACGAAGTTGAAAGGCCTTGTCGAGGTTGTGTCGTCATTGGCCGAAGTCGAGACTATCCCGATTCGGAGACATGAAGATGCCCTTCTTCGTAGTATCTACAACCGCGTCCCAGTCAAACTAGAGCGGGCCGACTTTGAGGCCCCCCCACTACAAAATGTTCTTGCTCCTTCAAGCTCACTTCTCGCGGTTGCAATTGCCGCCTGATCTGGCTGCTGTCTCGTCCTGGAGAAAGTGCTCAATCTTTTATCAGCAAGTGTCGATGTGATGTCTTCTAGCGCTTGGCTAAGCGCTCTGGGTGCAATGGATCTATCGCAGATGTGTGTACAAGCCATGTGGGAGACGGATTCTCCTCTGAAACAGATCCCTCACTTTGAGACCGAGGTGAGCAAATTCACGCTGTAGAAAACTTGTTTCCTCACAAGTTATGATCGCTTCAGGTAATCAAGCGTTGTAAGGACGCTGGTGTTGACTCCGTCTATGACATTATGGAGCTCAAGGACGACCGTAGAAACGAGTTGCTCCAGATGACGCCCGCCCAAATGTAAGAATCACAAACTTTTTCCTACGATCGAAGCTCACGTCATTTCAGGCGAGATGTCGCAACCTTTGTCAACTCCTACCCCACCCTGGACATCTCTCACGAGCTCGTCAAAGGAGAATACACCGCAGGCGCGCTGATTATTCTCAAGGTATCGCTGGCACGTGACGCAGACGATGAGGTGATCAGAACGTTGTTGCATCTCAAGAAGTTGGCGAATTGGTGGCTCGTTGTCGGAGACCCTGCCTCCCGCCAGCTCCTCGTCATCAAGCGAGTCACGGTGACGAAGAGCTTTGCCGTCAAGCTTGAGTCACTCACTGAAACTCTACGTCATTTGTGATTCTTGACACTTATGTTGGTGCTGACCACGACATTGGTCTCGAACCCATTGAGGTCCTTGAAGGAGACGATAGTGATAGCGATGAGGATATGGATAGCGATGAGGATGAGTAGATATCAAGGCATATGATTTCTGTAATTGTATCGTTCATGTAGTTGCTTATAATTTCTTGCTCTTTTCGTCGAGAACGGACCCGGTGTTAAACAAGTCATCGTTTCAAGATGCGCGCCCCGTTCTCGGTATCAAACAGTCAACGTTGGCCTCCCATCACGGGGAACTCCCCTTCGAGGACACTTGTCAACGCAGCGTGGAGGGTTATGTGAAAGAGTACGAAGAAGAACAGTTGAAGATTACATTGATAAGACTACATACATTTGCATGGTGGGGCATGAACTCAAATTATTCTCTGTAGATCGCTCAGTTGGAGAGGAAAAATCGAAGTGGGGAGGTTAGTAGCTTCTGGACGAGGACTTGCCTGATACTTAACCACACGACCCGACGTACTCGACACAGCGTAGAAAAGGGTTTCCTTGGGGCATGCTGTCAAAGAACCAAATCACCATCCCTCATTTGTCAAGACTGAGCGAATTTCCTTGCCTTGTTCATCTTGATACTGAAGCTTGTAGGGCTGAATTCCAACAGCCGCTTTCGTCTTTGGGCCCTTTCCGGCCTGTTGACGAGTAAGTGACGGGGGCTAGGACGAAGACAATCTCACAATTACCGGCATCACTTTGGATTTGACGATGTCCGCGATTCCCAGCCCGACAAAACAGACGATCTTGGGGCGGTGTGTGGCGATCTTGGCGAGGAGAGCAGGAACTCCCGCTATTTGCTCGGCTTTGGATAGCTCGCTTTGCTACAGATGATGGTTTCGTCGGTGACTGGGAACTTGCATGAGAAGTACCAGTACCTCAGCAGTTGGACGATCAACCAGATTCGTCTACGAAGGTCTGAGTACCCTTATCGAGCTCAATAACAGGGAAAAAAGGCGTACCATCCCGATCGAAAACTCTTCTGGAAGAGTGAAGTCTTCTTGAGGACGGAGAAGTCTTGTAGTGAAGCCTGATTTGAACAGGCGGCTCCAGAAGTGATTCGTTGGACCACCAAAGTGGTACCCAATCTCAGCGGACGTCTAACCTGGGCTGGGGACGATCATCAGCGCGGCAGCGGAGAGAAGTTGGCAGTTCGACGAACTCACTTGATACCGCAAAAAACTACTAAACGAGAATGTGAGTTGCTGGTTCGGAAGGTTCAAGCTTTTGATTGACTCACCTTCTAACCCACTCCACAAGTGATGTTGAAGTTCCCGTAGGTGAGCGTACGTAGACGGCTCGGCATACCCCCGTTTCTGTTTCTTGGAGGGTGAGCCAGGTTCTAAACGACCAACCGATTCATTGGGACCCTCGTCGAGCGCTGAAATCAACCGCTTTCTGGTCCTCAGATCCTTTACGCGAGAACTTGTGGCTATCGGGCTGTCGGGCTCTTTTGCATGATCCTGATTTCGTGGCCTCCTCTCTGTCGTTGTGGCTTTGCCGTGCGCCTTGGATTTTTGATTCGACGAATGCCAGTGGGCAAAGGCGAACCGAGCCAATGAGGCTCGGAAACGTTCAGAGACCTTGGACCCTTCAGGTGCTTCATGTTTCTCCGTTTCGGAAAGTACCTCCTCCTCGTCTCTTGATTTGTGTTTTGGCGCCATGAGTTCAAGAAACGCTCCCGTGTCCCTATAGACGATTAAAGTGGTCTGTCAAGGTGGCAATCATGTCGCGGCGGAGTGAGCAAGGTGGTGGTTTGAGTTCAATGTTTGGCCCAGGGGGATCGGCGCTCAAAGCTATCCACTCATCGTAAGCTTTCGGCCCACTTCTCTTGACTCTGAACCAAGCTAACCATTCGTTTCCAGAATCCTAGAGTTCATAACGGCAAGCGATCTTGACTCTCATTGAATCTAGGGTCAACGATTGACTTCGCACCATCAAACCATGCCTGACCAAAGGCTCCATCAAGGCGCTTGAGAAACTGGGGAGATGGGATGGCTCGAGTGAGGAGGCAATCAGGGTTTGTTGTAGGTTCACTGTCGCTGAACCAAAGCTGCAGCTTGGTGGTAACGATGCTGTTGGAGACACGCGGAAGCCTGAGGGCGAGGAAACTTGTGACTGGGAGGTCGGGGGATGGGAAACTACCCTCATAGCTTTGTGGGACGGGAAGCCGATCACTTTTTGCATCCGCGACATGAGTTGGGACATCACAGTATTCCTTGTTGGCTCCAATCCATTCGGATTCCTTGGATACAGTGGGGTTCACGAGATCAACGTGTATGTTGGGTGTCATATTGGAGGACAATGCAAGGCTGAGAGCATTATCCATCCGAAAATTTTATCACGAACGACGATTTATGTAATATCCGTAGATGATTTTACGAGATTACAGAGCTACAACCTTCGAAAAAGAATGGAGCATTCATCACGGTTTGAACCCGTGACCGCTCAGAATACACCACTGTAAGAATTTCGCAGCTTTGCCCCTGCCTCACGCGTCAATACCTGTCCGTTCGAGATTTGGCCTCACCTCTAGCTGCGAAGACCTGTCCAGACTTAGGAACCGGCTATTTCGCTCGCAAGGCCCAATTCCTGTCCGAATGGCATCCGGCCTAACAGCCGTTTTTTGAAAATTTCCGTCCGGAATTCTCTCAGGGGGCCTCATCACTGTGCATTTGGACTCAGATGAGCATGCGGTACATGAAAATGGAGGATGCGCGGAGCGCTTCCCTGGGCTGGATAGACGACACTGACATCTTCTCCTAACTCAGCGTCTGCGAGCTCAAGGGGAAACGGCCCGGCGAGGCCGAGCTTTTCCTGGGAAGAGTTTTTAGTTGGCGCGGACTCGCCCTACAAAATGCCTCCTTACCAGTTGCCCTTAGAACCCGCCATTACGACGACTGCGCAGGGGGGAGACGCTACCGCGCGAAAAGGCAAGCCTAACTAGTGAACCAAAAGTTCGGAGTTGGTGACCCAGTTCGAATGAAACCAAAGCCCGACCTTTGCTTAATCACATCGCTTCATCTCTGCCAGCCTCATGTTCATCGAAATGCAGAGGACTCTTAGTATGTTACCCATGTTCTGTCTCCTAACCATAGATCTCAATCTCACACCTCAACCAAAGCTCAACCCACATTCCCGCCCATGGCTGCTGGCGTATGTGCTGGAAACCCCGACCAGACGTACAAGGGTTCCACAGGATGGAGGAGGATTCCTGGGAATACCTGCGTTGATGGTGTCGCAAGGGACGAGAAGGTTGATAAGGAGTCTTTGCAAGGTATGCATTTCGTCATTGTGGGCTTGAGATATTTCTGATTAACGTCACTGACAGCAACCTGAAATCATCCATCAGATTGTGCAACATGTCTACTTCAAGAACCCCCAAGTAAGTTGTCCCATCGACGCCGTATCTCTCCCGTTCTCAGGCTGATGGTCCGCCCAGATAAAAACCATTCTGGTTCGTCTCATGGTCAGCACCTTGCGGCAATCCAGCAACGAAGGTTACAGCTAGACCCACTGAATCCACTCTGAACACCTTTTTTTGCGTTCTACCATCTTAAATATTTGGACGACCGTGTCAACCTCATCGCCGACGCAAACACCTTCCACACAACCGACACCGGACGAATGTGGAACCAAGCCAAAGCCCCGACTCTACGAAACGCATACGGAGTACAAGTTACAAAGCTGTCATGCAGAACTTCCCAGTTACGCCAAAGATAACGGGCGGAAGTGGTTCCTCGTCGGTAGCTACTTGCGGAAATGCGCGTGGGCGACAGACACGGAGCTTCAAGTTAGTACTGATGAGATCATTTGCGAGTCCTATCAGGACAAGAAGGGCAACCAGCAGAATGAAAACACAATGGAACTAGTGGCTTGTTGATCATGTCGTTGGTTTTCAGAGTTCCTGGTCGTTGGTGAGGCAATTAGGTTTCCTGTGGTTTTGTTGCACTGGGGGTTTTGCGACACACCGCTCGTGTAGGTTCTTGGGGTACATTCTCCCGGAAACCAGGAACATGGCCAGCACTGGGAAATCTGCTGCTATCTGCAAGGGTCTAGTTTACTAACTACCTCA